AAGATTATGGAGTATAGCAGATTCTTTAAGATCACCTAATAATATCATATCATCTACACCTTCAATAGAACTGATATGCATTGAACGAAATTTAGTTTGGGCAGGAAAATGGAGTTCCTTAAAAAGATTCATTAAATATATGACGATAATATGAATAGAAAATCTTTATACTTGTTCATTATCATCAATTAAAACAATTTGTCCGGCTTGTGTAGCGACCACACGAGCACCAATTTCGACATTGAATTCAGTGCCCGTACGCTGATCGATCCAAACATGATCACCCTATAGATTAAAAAGAAAAACTCTTTTTTCTATTGAATTTTTTTCTAAAGAAAATCTAAGAAATATTTCAGCAAAAGCAACCTGTAAAAAATAATGAGTAATTGGTATCAATGTCATAGGTTTTTTCTTGTTTTAATTTAATCTATATATGTTTACTTCAGGTAAGCAAGCGCGTGTCTATCTGTTGGTTAAAAATCGTAAGTTCTGCCCTTTATGTACACATTTAGTAAGCATCATTCAAGTACAATTACACTAAACGTATGTTCATCTATTGACTTTCTTTTTCTTTGTTCTGTATGCTTTCGTATTTTATGCATATTATTATAATTATTTACCATTAATAAAACGACTCAGAGATTTTTTTACTGTAAATAAAGAGGAAACTTTTATTTTTCTCTGTCATGATATTGATATTCTAATTCAGTTTTTGAGTATATATTATGTATATATGCATGTGTATAAACTTAGATCAACATTGAAAATTAGTAGATATAAAGAAAAGACAAAAAATTTAGAAAATGAGCACATGTCAATAAGCGAACATTAGCGCGGTCGACAACGACACATAGTTTGCCAAGAGATCAATGTCTGATGTAGACAACTATATATATATATAAGCGTGATGTAACTAACATAGAACTATGAATAAGAAAGAATCAGTTGTAAATCAAAATGGAACATGAATAGCAAAAATAATTTTTTACGATGATTTAAAAACATAGCAAAATTAGATGAACAACAACTATTTAAAATATTTTTATACCGGAGAATATTCCATAATATGACTATGTATTAATAATTGTAGCAAACTGTGGAAAGTTTAGTAGTGAAAATTAAAAGAAAATAAACAGTTAACTTACTTTTGAAACGCTCACCATTCAGTATAAGCCTGAAAGAAGATATAAACGAATATGTAGCATTTTGAATATGTGTAAGACACAAAACTTTTATAAAAAAGACATGAAAGACAAATTCGTTAAAGAATAGTGGCACACATACACACATACACAATCAAAGATTATGCATCACATTTTCTTCGTCTTTCTTCCTTCTTTCAGGTGAGTATATACTTGCATGCCCGCCCGGTAAAGGTAGTCGACTGCAAAGTATGGTTCTCTTCTTCTTCTTCTTCTTTTCTTCTTGAGTTTGTTCTCTAACTTTTTTTTTATTTGAACAAAATCTTCCCTCCTGTCGAGCACGCGTTTGTGTGTGTGTGTGTGTGTGTGTTCTTCTTGCGTTCTTTGTCTCGCCTTTGTAATGACTGACCAAATGTAATCGATGTATAAGTCGCCTTTCTGCTGTCTCCTTCGACTCATTTTTTTTTCTTTTTATTATTATTCTGATACTGAGCTCAAGTAAACGAAAGAAGAAGAAGAAGAAGAAGAACGAATGGTTCTTTCTCTTTCCTTTTATTCTGACAAATAGTGTAGACAGCGTCTCAATCACGAACATATTTTAACATCGAATCTGTCAACTAGTATGGTATATAATTTGTTCGAATATCGATAAAAGAAATGTTTACTAATATATCCGGATGAAAGTATAAAAGAAAAAGGTGGCGACAATCACTTTATAGTCTAAATTGACATATCGAAATCGGATCAATAATTAATATCGACCTTCTTCCTTAAGCTAACGGTACTCGATTTACGTTCTTTTAACATACATAAAAAAAAGAAGACAGCTGGGGCATGCTATTACTGACAAAGAAGAGAAAAAGAAAGGGACTGAAGTATATTTTAGTAGGTGATATCTACCTGCTTATGTTGACATTTAACATTCCATTTCGAATAAAATATAAGAAAAGAAAAAAATCTTCATAAAAAAAAAGAAGATTCTGAAAGCAAATGTTTCTCTTCTAAACAATTCAATGATAATTATGATGATTCATATAGTCAAGGAATAAAAATCAAGTAAGATTAATAAATCTGAAATATATGGATTTGTTTCAAAATAAAACAATCGCATTTAGATGTGGTTTTAAGAAAATTAACACAGATGTCGTTAATTATATATTTTTGATTGGTTTATGCAAGTATTTGACAAAACCCAACCGATGACGAAGATTCTCTTCTCTGCTTTCTCTGCTCTTCTTGGTATTGCACATAAATTTATTAAAATTTAAATCTAAAACTAATATTCATCCAAGATGATTCAAGTTCATGTAGATCTTCTACAAAATCTTCAGCAAGCAGTAGTTGTGTTTAACATGCCATTTGGAGTGTAAGTATAATTAATTTATTATGAAAATTAAATTACCTATTTGATAAATATTTTATCTCAGCAAAGTTTATTTTTATTAAAACATATGCTCAATATTTTAATTTATAAAACGAAAATATGTATTGAAGAAATAAACTTTAGAATTATGAAAGTATGTTGTAGAAATTATTAATTATAATCTAGATAGAAGTTTTCATTTATCAGGGAAGATTAGTACAAAGATTTGTTTAAAATGACTTTAATACGTAGTATATGTTTGCTAAGAATACAAAAAAAAAAATAATTAAAATGATATGAAAGATTAAATAGTGTCGATACTTTTGTAATTACAAAGCTATGTGTATGGTTAAGTACTCTTAAATCGAACATATAGATTGGAATGTTTTGTAACTTTATATTCGTGATAAAAATAGAAAATTAAATATACAGTCATCTATATTATATGATCAAATACCTATTATACATCACTCCTATCATTATTTGCATATTTATGATGTTAATACAAGAGCATTTGACAAATAGAATCAGCATATACTTATTTGTTAAGTCATACTATAATATACATCTTAGACAACAAACAATAGAGTTTAAATTATCGATGTAATGATGGAAAAAAATTCTGTAATATTTCGAATCAAGATTCAATGTAATTATGATGTATCTCGAATTAAGTACATAAACTAGAAATTTGACAGATTTCTAAGTTTAATTATAATCGAGAGTATAATAATTAGTTTTTACGTGCTTCTGCATATGTTTGTTCAATATCCTCACTACTTTATTATTTTTGATTTATTTGATTGTAATTGGTTCAAAAAAAACTCTATTGTTTTGTTTTTTACATGATTCTTCATCAAAAGCTAGATATTATAACATTTATTTTATTGTTTTATATGACTATTTTATTATCTTAGAGGTTTTACATTGTACACTTGATATTCATGATTTCAATTGAGATTACTAGCATACGAATACCAGATGAACTTTTAAATGTTCATGAGTTTTAGATTTTTCAACAATATGTATATTTAGAATTTCTTTATAGTGATTGTGGTATTCAAACTGACCAAGTTACTTTCGAAAATGAAGATCAACATTGGAAAACTGTACTTCATTTTAATGATCTAATCATAGATATAAATAAAGGCATTGAAACTTCACTACCTGAAACAAATATAAATTCAAATGAAAAAGAACAAATTCGTCGAACATTCAAGTAAATAGTATGAAATCTACAAAATAAATTGATCATTCGTTTTATTTAGATTTCCATTTCTTCGACTACCTAAAATAACTGACAATGTACAACACGATTTCACCAATATTAAATGTGCCAAATGTCAATCAACATTAAAACTTATTGCTGAAGAGTATAGTTAACTTTATTTGAAAGAAGAACTTAATCCTCTATAGTCTACTCTACACCATAGTCGACCTTTTAAAATTGTTCAACAGCAAAATACCAATGTTGATGATATAAATGAAGTTATCTATTGTCATCGTTTTTGTGAAGCTCATCAACATGAACACAAACATGACTATAATGAACAAGTACAAGCTCCTCTTAATCTTCATACAGAATTAATTGTACTTGAAACAACTGAATGTTTTATAATTGCTAAAGAGTTCATAACTTCAACTTTGATCAATAATGAACTTGTTCAATGTAATCATTGTTCTTCGCATCTTGGATCATTTGGTATGTTGCATTTATCATTTTTATATTGATAAACTATTCATATTAAATTATTTTGTATATTTCTATTTAGATGTTCAGAAAAATCTTATTTCATTCGACAAATGTTCATTAATACCTTTCTCAAATGATTATTTATTATCATGTTTTCATCATCATGAACCAGGTCGATATATAGTTAAAGTACCTAAATTCAATGATTCAATATTACTTGTATGGATTCTACCTAATGAAATACTTTCTGCTGATACATCTATCAGTTCAATCAATGAATCTACTCAACTTATTTTCCATCGAAAACGAAAAGTTCTCTTCACTCATATTACATCATCAGATAATAACATATTTAATGAATGGAAACGAGATTTTTCTGTAACAACACTTCTTGTTAATCGTTTATGTCTCGATCATTTATCAACAGCATTTCAACAAGAATTACAAAAATTTCCTAATGTATTCAACAAACAAGAACCATTTCAATCCTTGACTATTTCTTTTTAAAAAACATATCACTGTTATATTAGAAAAAAAATAAAATAAAGAACAGGCAAATTGTCTATATGTGTTTAGTTGTATATATCGAACGAAAAAGTCAGACAGTAAGTTGTCTTCAGCGACTAATCCTTTGTTTGTAACATGTAGTAGTAATGGTAACAAACGAAGAATGTTAATAAGACCAAATAGGAATTAGTTGACGATCGTATGAACGAAAGAAAGAACAAAAAAAAATGAATGTTATCTCTCATATGCACTCGTCAAGAAAGTGACGAGAACGAATAATTTGAAATATATAACTATGGAATCAAACGATTGCATCACGAAAGATTGTTCCACTATATATCGTTTTCAATTTGCAAGTATAGCTTTTTTATGTAGTGTTTATCTTCCATTTACCTTTCATTCAAATATATGGCTACTTTATACACAACCATTTACTCCAGTTAATTGTTCAATGATCAACCCATCTTTTATATCTGGGTCAACGTCAAATATGCAAACAAAAACTTTACTATCAGTTCTAATTAAAGATTATAATCAACCAGAATGTTGTCCATGTAATGGAATTTTTGATGGAAGTATCACTGATAAAAATTTATTAACTCTTTGTCAAGAATGGATGACAAATATAAGCGAATTAAAAACTCGAAAAGCAACAATCATTGATGAAGTAAGTTTTAAATCTAATTTTTTTTATTCACAGAAAAACTTTTATTCATATTCGTAGTGGCATTTGGCATGTGGACAAGAAAATCGTAAAAATCTTATGACAGGTTCAATTTCATTTTTAATCGCTGAAATAATTGGAGTTATAACAGTTGGCATCTTAGCTGATCATTATGGAAGAAAATTAATGCTTCTTATGTGCCTTTATATTCCGGTGGTATGTAATCGAAAAGTATTTTTCAATCTCGAATATTTTTTTCTTCTATGATGATTTTAGCTTTTCGGATCATTAGCTGCATTTACTACTACTTATTCTCTATTCATTATTCTTCGTTGGCCTGTAGGATTTTTAAATAAGGTAAAATTCGATTCTATTCAACTAATAAAATAATATGTAATAAATTCTAGGGTCTACTTTTACTTGTTTATATAATGGTTATTGAATCTTGTGAATACAAACATCGAGCACAAATTGGTTGTCTTCTTCTTGCTTCTATACCTATTTTTGGTATTATTATTGGTGTTACTTATTTTTTTCTATTAGATTGGCGTCATATGCAATTACTAGGTATTGATAGGAATGATGTTTTTGTTTTTCTTTACATTTTATTTGTTTAATTTAGGTACATTGATTACTACTTTAACTCTTTGTTATCCATGGTAAAGAATACTTATTATTTCATATTATTTTCTACTTTATTAATAATTAAGGTTGATACCAGAATCTCGTCGATGGTATGTGAATAGTCATCGTGTATCACGTGTTAATAAACTTTTACAATTATGTTCAAATAAACAAACATCAACATTAGGTTTTAATAAAGTTGGTTCATTAGCACCATCAACTATTATTTATGATAAACCAGTTTTATCACAAGATGCACTTTCTGCTCAAACATGTTCACTAGCTGGTTTATTCATTAATCGACAACTTCGTACAATTACTTTTTGTTTATCAATACTTTGGTTTGATTTGACTGTCTTTAATATTCTATTTGAAATGATTTTTATTTGAAATTGAAGGTTTCTGTCATCATTTTGCTATCGTTGTACATCTTTTCCATCGATATTTCCACATCCAACTATGAATTATGTTTTAATGAATGCAACAGAATTTTTTTCATTTATTATTGCATTTCTTGTCGCCTATAAGTACGTTTAAACATACATTGATAAGATTAATATTATGAATTTTTTTTTCTAGAATTGGTCGACGAGCTCCAGTAGCTGTACTTATTTTAATTAGTGGTCTATCATCAGTTTCATTTGCAATTACATTACTTGGAACAGGTTTAATTAAAATAAAGATTTATTAGGGTTCTGTTTTTTTAAGACATTAATTTCATTTCAAAGGACATATATGGCTTGAAATAACATTTTCACTTGTTGCTCGTGGTTGTCTACGAATTTGTTATTGTCTTTTGATTCTATTTACAACTGAACTTTATCCAACATCAGTTCGGTAAATTTTTCTTCTAAATATTTATAGATAAATATACACATGTTTAATTTATTTTATAGAGCAACTGGTTTGGCTATTGGACTATCAAGTGAAGTTATAGCACGAATTTTAGTTGAACTTCTTCTCTATGTAAGTTGATTTTATGAAAACTTCTAAAATCTAATTTGTTTCTCTAGTATGCAATTGATCGAATATTACTTTTGTTTATATCTGGTGGTATGCTATGTCTTAGTTGTTGTTTAATATGTCCATTACCTGAAACAATACTTTATGATTTACCTGATTCATTAACGGATCTTCAATCAATGAAACGTTCAATAGGAAATGATAATAATGGTGAAATATCACCACATAATCCTCAATGTCATATGATTGATTCAAATACACTTGCATTTCCTCGTTTATCTCAATCAAATACAGAACAATCTAATCTTAATGATTTATTCTCATTAAGTCCAAAAACAATTTTAAAAACACAACAACAAGAAGGAAATGGTGTAGAAAAAACTGTTACTATTCATTCTCAACCTGAAGTAATACAAATGAATTCATATAGATCATCATTAAATGGTTTATCAAATCCATGTTATTTTACTTCATTAAATGATAGAATTGATCAATATGAATTTGAACAACAAATTGATAATCGATTAATGTTTAGTATTCAAGGTACACAAAATAATAATAATAATAATAATACTGAAGAAGAAATTGAAAATACCAGATTTTAAATATAAACTTATGTAGTAATATGTTTCTTGTATCTTTTTTTGTATTTATTAGTAAAATATAAATAAACTAAAGTCTTTATATATGATGGAAATGGCAATCAAAACAAAAACAGATTAAAGATACGGTTTAATTATTATTGAATCATCGCTATGTGTGACATACTGATACAGCAGAACATTCGAAAACATTTGAGTCATTCGTTAAAACATTAACCTATGACATATAAAACGATACTATCCAAGTACAATCAACCTATTATCCGTCTACATAGCATCAGTTTATTTTGACATACAAATAAAAATTTGATGCTAACGAGTATGTCATGCAGTGAAATTATCCTGAAATTGGGTTAGGACAGAATATGCACATCAATACAATATTTTCTCATTGGATTTTTCTATTAACTCAATAGTCCTTATCATGAAAATGTTGACCTATATATCTACATTTTAACTTCCGTGAATATATCATCTCGAAATAAGAACATTCTTCTATTCTCTATGCCTATATCACTGATGAACGAAATACAAACAAATTGAATGCATATGTCCAATAACTAGATCTATTGATATTTAGTGTAACGTCAAATAGTTCAAATACTTTTTCTCTTTTTCTCTCTCACTCTCTCTCTCTAGAAAGAAATATATAAAACAAAAACATACAACAGTCATTTCTCATTCGAACGTTGTCGAGTAAAGAAGTGTGATATCCATATGAATAACAACATATTGAAAAGAATAAGACAAAACATGTGAATGTATCTATCTTGTAAGTAGTTCTATATAAAAGTAAGTATATAACTATTTGGTTTATGTAAATCACCTCTGATTTCGAGTTCATTCGTATTTTTAAGTATTATAAACTCGAACTCACGGGTGGATGTACAACCAGATGAACAACATATCCTAAATTCCTGTAAAAAAACAATAAAATTTATTTTTTCTATATTTAGTTTAAAACGTAGATAATTTTTTCTAATAAAATTTATTCTCAAAATATTGTATCATTAATCAGTGTATAATATGAGTTTACATGACTAAATTATTGATGAGCAAATAGATTTTGTTCATTGTATAATCTAATTACAAGGAAATACCACGAACTTATTAGATTAGTCTGTTATTATACGAAAACTTAGCAATATTCTTTGTAATAAACGAAGTAAAACTATGATTTTATATTACTTAATGATAAAGTGTACAGGGTCTCCAATTAGGAGGGGACCTGGGGGGGGGGGGGAGCGGGGGTCTAGGCCCCGCAAAATTCGAAAAGCTGTCTGTCTTTCTGCCAAAATTTTCAAAGTTTTGTTGAGAACTTGGTCAGAAACCTGGTTTTTATGCTATTTTCGCCAGAAACTCCAATAAAAACACTTTTTTCGGAGAAAATTCCGCAGAAAGTGTATAACTTAAGTATTTTCTACGTTATATGCGTCAGAAAGCTATATGACGGCACTTTCTGCCAAATTTTATCCCTCCCCCCGCCCCACTTTTGAAAACAATCGGGCACCCTGAAAGTGTACATTATTATCATATTCGAAACTTAAAATACAACAGAAGGAAAGATAATATCCATTTATGAAAGAAAATACTTGATCGTATAAAAAACATCATCATTAATTGTTTGAAACTAAATAAACAATAATCATTTTATTAGGTAAGTAAAATGTTATCAATATAATTGATTCTATAACATGAACAAACTAAGCAAATGATTAAAATCTAATGTTCATAAATTTATTTTTATTGCTATTCCATATTGCAATAATTTGTCAATTATATGTATTTGAAAGGTTTGATTAAACAAAACAGTAGTTAATCGTAATAGCTATGAAATGGGTTTTTTTCTTTTTTTGGTACAAATTTATAACAATTATATTATGTCGTTAATAATTAACAGATGACATATATATATATTAATTCTAATATAAGATAAAATTAATAGTTTTTTAATATGCAAGGAGAATGTGTATGTCAACTTATTGTTGAAAGAAATAGTAATAAATAATTAAACACCAAGGTTTGCATATATCAAATTTCTTTAGATAAGAAAAACCAAAGTAATATTTATCATTGTTTTTCTTTTTGACAACAATTTTCGCATTATTTAATGCATATGAGATCGTTCATGTATGAAAACGAATACATAATATACGTCGTGTAAGAAAGAAAGAAAGAAAAAAAAATGTATAATGTTCAATTCAAATAAAAACAAACGAAATAAATAACTAGTTCATATATAGATATGCACACTATTTTACAATTTTCGAAAATCCCATCGAAGTAAACGTTTATACGTCTTTTTAAATTGTCGATTAGCAAGTGCATAACAAAATGGATTAATTGGACTATTTAAGTAGCAAAGATAATAACAAGCATGAAAGAGATATGTATTGAACACAATACTTTCACGACATGTTTTGCAAAATGTTTGAATTATTGTATGAATATGCCACTAGAAAAGAAAAAAAGAGACAGAAAATAAACAAAGTTTTTCAAATTATATAATATATAAGACAGTTATTTTTAGATCTTCTTTTTTTTTCTGCTCATCAATACTATTTTCTGTAAGAAAAAAAGAGCGAACAAAGCATGTGATATCATAAATGTCCTTCTACGTAGTTCTACTATATTCACTGTTAAACACTTAGGAATATAAGTATGCTTTTATATAAAAATGTCAATCTACTAACTGGTGTCCAACATAGAACAAATGCACCCATAATAACAGTAATAGTACGTAATGCTTTTCGTGCTTTATTACTGTTACCATTTCTACCAGCACATGATTTTTGTTTTGTTGAAGATGATAATAATGAATTATTTTGTATGTTAGGTAGAAGTAATCGATTTTCTTCTAATTTTTTATTTGATTCAACTTCAACACGTGTAATAGGAAGTGAATTAGGTACAGTAGGAGATATAGCAGCTACAGATGCATGTTCACCACTAGTTTCATTTGATGATGAACGATTGGTAACATCAAGTCCATTTGATAATCTACTTTGATTACCATTATTCGTATGATTGATAAATGAACTTCTAATATCATCATCAAGACTTGTATTACGTCTTGATAGTGATGACAGACTTGGTTGTTGCAACTTTTTTTTTTTCTTTGATCGTGCAGATGATGATAAACAAAGTGTTGTTTGAGTAAGTTGATGATTTTTTGACATACTTATTACAAGATCTGTCATTTTTGATGGTGAAACACCTATAATATTTGAGACTTTTTTAGCATTTGCATTTGAACGTTTTTCAAGTGCACTTGCAACTTGATAAATAAAAAAATACAATGTAAACATAACTAATAGTGTCACCCAAAAATAACCAATAGTTAAACCTAGAAAAAAAAATCAAATGTTTTTGGTTTTTTTATTCTATCATTCATTAGTTTTGTAACTAACCTAGATTAAAATAAGGATTCTTATTCCATTGTACACTAAAACAGAGAAAAGTAAATGTCATGATCTTTTCTATTCTAGAAACACTTGAAGGAATAAATGTCCTTACTCGCATTGAAGATCAGATACACTTAAATTTGGCTTCTTACTGTATAATGGATAACCCATAGTTGAAATAAAAAAAATGAATGCGGGTATAAACCATGTTAAAAGCACCAAAAATATGACACGTTTTTTTGTTCTCCAATTTCGATATTTAGCAGGAATTTTAACTGAACAAAAACGATCAACGGTAATTAAAAGCACCGTATATATCGATGCTAAACATACAGTATAATCTAATGATAACCATATATCGCATAAAAATGAACCCAGCACCCAACGATTTTTATATATAGCTAATGTTAAAAAAGGCATCGAAATACAACCAATTAAAAAATCACTAATAGCTAATGAAAATATAAAATAATTTGATGGTTGTCGAATTTGTCGATCAACAAAAAATGAAGCTAATACAAGTATATTACCACAAATAGTTAATAATGATATAAATGTACCAATAACAGCAAGTGCTATATTAACTTGTTCTGAATAAGGATGTAATGATGATGAAATAAAAAATGTTGATGATGATTCTTGCATGACATCATTGGTCAAATTACAAATTGTAATTGAATCGTTAAAAAATATAAACGAAAGTTGTTCTACCATACATATAATAATAAATAAATAAATAAAAAAAGAAGAAGGAGAAAAAGAATGAAATTATCTAGAATAAATAAATCAAATAAATACATTATTTACTTGTTTTATAACGAACCGATCTATCTAAATTACCTGATGGGTAGTGTATGGTACTCGTCACTTATCTAAAATATCTAATACACAGATATAGATAGACAAGAAGCAACGAGAGAGAGAGAGAAAGAAAAATATTTCTCTTATTTTTCAAGATATATATTGATGATATTTATCATCATTGGTTTCTCACTCTCGTTCCTCAAAAAAAAGATAGACAAAGCCTATACATCCATTCAGCTCGAGGCAATATGCACTTTTCTCTCGTTCGCTCGGGTCTTATAGTAACATTCAATTTCTATAATTGAAGTCGGTCAATTATTGTTACATCGGAAAAGCAAAGCCGAAATGTATTGTTTCTTTTTTTCTTCTTCTTCTTCTCAACTTATGTGCTTGTAATGATAATCATTTATCAAGAGACAGTTGTCGTGGACTTCGCTACTCTCTTTCTTTTACACATACTTCTCGTGTTCGCTTTCATCAAACACTATTCTTCTTGCCAATAGTCATCAATTTATTCGTAGAAGAAAAAGGGAGACAGAAAGAGAGAGAGAGAGAGAGAGTCACACACTAACGGACAAAACGTTTATAGAAATGGTCTATCTATCGTTTCCTTATTTTCTTTCTTTTCTTTCTTTGGCTTCATTACTTAGAAAGAAAATTTTATTATTTGGTTAACGCTACTACAATTGATTTTCTTTTTGCTTCTTGATAGAACATTCGCACCTTCCTCTAGAGATTCGATAAATCTAAAGAATTATTTTATGAATAAAAAATGAACAAACATCAGTAATATTG